GCTGGCTGGGCATGGATCCAGGCTGTAGGTCAGGTTGAAGTCCACATATCTCATTTTGGAGCCCAGACTAATACAGCAAGGAATACTGAGGGCACACTCTTTTCATCATGATGGCAGAAGGACAGGTGCACAAAATCCAACTGTATAAACACATTTCAAGCCTCTGCTTGCATTATGTTACCAATATCCCATTAGCCAAAACAAGTTACAAGGTCAAGCCTAGAGTCGAGGGGGAAAGAAATCAACTTCATCCATCCATGGAGCCATGGCAAGGATGAGAGTGTATAACAATATTGTAGCAGAGTAAAGAAGTGGAAGCAATAATTCAGTTAGTCACAGCATATATATACACTGGAGCTCTGACTGGGATGAGCTTTAATTGGTATTAAGCATATTCTTTTTCTGCCATGGCCCAGGTGGGGTGTGAGTAGTAAAGACTGATGCTGCAGCCGTACGTAAAGTCATTGTTTCTCCATTGTGATTTGATCATCTTATGTACTCCTTGCATCTCTTCTTAGGTTTTTGATCCAGTGATTCCTATGTTTTTAGTGCTCAAATTAGTTATACTCTTTCATTCCTTGAGCTCTGAGTCAACTGAGAAATATTCCTGGGGTTCTGAAATAAATTTAATAACAGTATTATCTCTATTATTGGCTAATTGCCCTGGGCCCAAGATTAAAATTATCTTCTATTTTCCTTCTTTATTTGAATTTCCTTACCTAGTTAATAATATAATATCCAGAGAGCTCTCTGCCTGACTCCTTTGTTTGCTGCATGAGAAGAAGGAAAACTGGTCAGAATTAATCAAGGACGTAAGATTGGGGTTAGAGATGTGTCCAAACTGAAGAAATGGTGTGTGTGAAGGCCTTGAGACAGGAGCAGATCTCTAGGCAGTTGAGGGATTCACTATCCAGGTGATTATTAAATAACAAGAGCCTTGGTCAATTTAGACTGAAAAAAATCAGGCCCTGAGGGAACCTTGGAGTTGACCACAAACATAAAAGGAAAGAAGATCCAACTCTATTCATTTACTCACTCTTTCATTATTAAATGCTACCCTTGTGAGGTGTTCTGTTCTCTGTACTGCGGATAAAACAATGAACAAAATGACCATATCCCTGCCCATGTGTGTAGCAGACATCCCTGCCCAGTACTCACAGACTATGGGTGGTACCTGCTTATTGATTTCCATAATTTGGCTATACTGTTTTCTATCAGGAGTCAGACAAAAGTTCTACATGACTCAAATTGGCATAACAGATGGCAGACTGAGCAAGTATAGCCCCTCCCCTAATGGCTGCCACAGAAACCTAAGCCCTGGTCTGTGAAGTGGCAGGATTCTGCTGAGTTACATACAGCTGAGGTCAGTGTGACCCCCAATAAAATCCTTTCCCCTAAATTATGCCTTCTTACTTGCCCAATGGGTTTCTTACTAACTGCACCCAGTCCCAGTACCTGTTTGTTCTATTCAAGCAAGATAATTAGTGCTCACTCCCTAACAGCCCTGCCTGGCACCATCATGCCAGGTGTTTGGCAGTATTTCACTAGATTCCTTTAAAGCATACCTGGCTCCCTATTCCTTCCCATGATTGTATTCAATAAATACTGGATGTGCTTGGGGATCTTTGTTTTTGCTGCCATCAGCAGCACTGATGATGCCCCAAGACCCAGCTTCTTCACTTTTAGTTTTTATCTTATTCTTTAATTCATTTTGTGGTGTAGTGGCTCACAGGAGGCCAGAACCCACAGCAGAAGTTCTGGCAATGTCCCCTTCTCCATTTGCTCTATGTGTGAATCTTACATTTATGCTGAGGCACAAACAAATAAGCAAAATTTATGGTATGGTAGACTGTAATAAGCAGTAAGGAGAAAAAAAAAGAAAAGAAGAGGGTTAAGATGTTTTGGTTGGTGGAGGTGTGGAGCAGTTTCAGGAAGAATGGTTAGGGTAGGTGATATTTGAGCAAAGATCAGAAGGAGAAGGGAACCATCAGGTAGAAGTGTTCTTCCCAGTGACATCCCCAGCAATTGCAAGACTTGCAGTTGTTGAGTGTCAGGAGACAAGGGTTAAAGAATAGTAAGAATGTCATTGTATAGGAGAGTGGGAGAAGAGGCCGGGCAAGTAGTGAGATGGAGGTAACAGAAGAAAAAGGGAGCTTAACTTGGACCATGTAAACCATTGTAATGCTTCAGGTGTTTAATCAGTGATATGGGGAGTCACTGGAGTGTTTTGAATATAAGATAGATATGGTCTGACGTACCTTTTCAGTGGACTACTGTGTTGAAAACAGAATGCAGGGAAGAAAGGGACATAATTCTATGTGATCCTGAGAAAATAATTAGAGTCAGTTGTAGAAGAGGCTGACTTTTCTAATTAACACACAAACACTAATTAATTGATTGTGTACCAGTGAACCTGGCTGTTTAGTCACATTAGAGTTACACTCAGCAACATGCCGCTGGAGGCCCCAGCAGATGCCAGGGATGTTGACAACTGGGAAATTCCTGTGTCGAATAAGAGATCAGATCCTGTGACATCCCTGATAGAGAGTTTCCCATGGGACATTCCCACGTGGAGAGTTTATTATTCTACAACAAAAATCACCTCAATTTCTTCCAACTAGAATGTGAGCTCCCCAAGTGCAAGGAGTTTAGTCTGTGCATTGCTCAATTCCTGGTGCCTAGAATACTCCTAGCATATAGCAGGCACTCAGTAGGTACTTGTTAAATGACCAAATATCTTTGTTAAACTTATTGCAGGACCTCAAGCAAGACACTTCTCTGTACCTCATAGAATACAAAGTAGGACCGGATGGCCCTGATGACCTTGATAGGTCGGCCCATCTGTGATCCCATTTCAGTTTGAGGCATCATTTCTAAAGGGGTTTGCAGGCCAAGGGGTGCACAAACAGGGGTCTCATGTGGAGGAAGGAAGGGATGGATAAGGGCAAACCTGAGTCATGGAGAAATACACAGTAATTGCTGAGGCTGGGGACCAGGGCACCCTCTAAAAATAAATGTGAATTGTCCTTTTTGATATGCTTAGGAGTCAAATTCCAAAGAGGGATGTTTCACTAGAAAGTGAGGGTACAAGACACCGAGAATTCATCCCAACCATGTTGCCTTTGCTTCAAGTGAGTCAGCCTGGTCAACAAAAAGTGCTCACAGTCCTTTAAAGTACTCCTGGGAAAAACAGCATAAATAGCAGCACAGATTCCATTTAAGGGTATCGAAAATACATTTTTAATTTTGATGAAGTTCACAAATGACAACATTGACATTTCTTTAAATAGATTGTTCCATCAAGGCACAGCATTACCATGTGTCCCAGACACTCAAGAGGCAGTGATTTCATGTCCCCCCGAGGTTTGGCAGAGTTGCCAACATGAACAGGATAGCTGAGGGGGACCAGATGTGTTACCAGATAGACCGATGAGACATGCTGTCATGTTTATTGGAGACAGAATTAAATATAAAACAATGCACAACAGGTAACTGCAATGAGCTTATTCTGCACTTAGCTTTAGTTCTTTTCAAACAAAAAAGATAGCTTCAGTATCAAGAAATATGCAAATATGAATGCCTTCCATGGAGTCCTCCATACAAATTGCCTTCATTACACACTAAAAGAAGTAGAGTTTCACTTTAATGTGTCCTAGGAAAGAAAAAAAAACAGCTAGAGTTTAGTTATTGACATTTATTATTTCATTTATTCTTTATATAAATGCTAGGAGGTAGGTACTATAAAAGCCTTCATGTCACAGAAGGAGAAACTGAGGTTCAGGGAGAGTTAAGTGAGTCACCCATGGTTATATAGCTAGCAGAGGGCAAACAAAGTTCTTAAGCCCAAGGCCCTTCTCTTAATTCAGAAGTACATGGCATTGTAGTATATACTCCAAAAGGGTAATGTCCTTCCCTTTCAAATCCCCAAGGATCCATATTTCCTGTCTTGATGAACTCAGCATCCGAAGAAAAGAATGGAAAAACAGAGGAGATGAACCCAAATTCCAGTTTCAGCTATTGGGTCTCAGAGTCCTTTCTTCAGTCACTGATGTGGGTGCTGTTCTCTGTGGACTTTTTTCAACCATATGGGCTCACAGAGGCTCAAAGGATAGACTACAACCCTGTGCCATGTGGCCATCCCTCCTCCCACCTTACAGTACAGGCAGTCACCTGCTTCCGGGGGCCATTTAGCTGTTCAAGCCACAAGGTCCCTGCGGCGCCGGCCGAAGGCTTTGGAACCCACATCAGTGGCTACGAAGTTGTCCTTCACCACACCCCCTGACCTGCTCAGCAAGCCTGCCAGTCGATGGGTCACACAGGTGGCGGTGTTGCAGGCTCTCTTCTGGGCAGTGACGCTGGTTTGAAGGATGAGAAAAAAGAGAAGGCCTGTCTGTGAGAGGTTGGGGGAGGAGCCTGCCCCATGAGACCATCATGGTAAAGTTGCTGCTCTGAGAGATACCAATTAACCTTAAGCATCTCCTTAACATATTTATCAGAGCAGAAGAACAAGAAGGGCATTACAGAAAACACCATGATCAGGCGCTGTGGACATTCCCATAGATATAGGGGTGTCAGAAAACCCTAAGATGACTGACTCTTGGTAGGACTGGCCATGGAACACAGGGTTGTAACAGCCAATCTTTCCTGTATAAGTAGGCTAAAAATTAACAAATGGTTACTAGACTAGAGTAGATTATAGTGCCACACCTAAGCCCATTCGCAAGGATTATAGAATCCACAGCCCGGTCATATGCACAAAATACCTCTTTGTAAGAAAATGAAAATCCCTTATCTTACCTGGAAGAAGAGCAGAATTTGCAGCATCCAGTCCAGAGGTGCTTACCTGCTCCTTGGCAGCCCTTTTCTTGCTGGTTGAGCTGGATCACAGGCACCACTCACCTGTGTCCAGCTACCCTGGGGCTAAGGCTACTTCTAAGCACATGTCCTGGAAACCAGGAAGCCTGAGATGTGGGCCACAGCAACAACCATCACATCTAAGGTCTTTTTGGAAAAATAATTTTATTCCCCAAATGACCAGCACAGTTAGACGGATGATTCTCTTCTGGTCTCTTGAGTCCTCCTCTCTCTCTCTCTGCCCATCTCAGATCCCAGAGATTCTCTGCCAGAGGAAATCCACTAATAACAGCCCGAAGAGCAACCAGAGAGGAACCACATGCATCAAGTTATAGGAAGAAAGCAGGAAAAGAAATTAGAAAGGAGAGAGGGAGTTTAGTTGGCATCCTGGGGCATGCCAACAAGAGGGTGGTGGTTTGTCTCCAAGTCACTGGCCATATCCCTTTTCTTGCCAGGTGCTCCAACCCCAATTGCAGTTTGGGGGAATGTGTGAAACTTGTTGAGGTCCTGTGTGTAGGTGCCCAGCATGCAGGTACTCAGATTACCACATCGCTTAGATCTGGGGCTGTCCAGGCTGTAGGGAAAAGACATGCCAGACAGTGTCATGCACAGGATCTGCCCCTGTGGGCAGTCAGCAGGTTAGACCAGGCAGGAACCCTTTAGGTGAGGGAGGAGGCACAGGCAGGAGGGCAGCTCACACATCCTCCATCAGGAGGGCTCTGAGGTGCATGGGCCAGGATTGTGGCATGGAAGGGTGGCCTTCCACATAGGGTTCAGTCCTTCGTGTTTAATAAGGGGGTTCTTTCTCAGAGTGGATGCAGGTTGACCCATGCCTCTACCTGAGTAGTGCAGGGCCAGGCCAAGGCTGGTCTCTTTCCCAGGCTCAGGGTACACAGGGAGCTGGGGCAGGGGAAAGGTGCTCTCCTTGGCCTTGGGACAACATGCATATTTCTCTATCTCAGACACTGCCCTACCTGTCCCCAACCCCTGCAAGCCTTCGACTTCACTTTACAAATATAAAATTCAAGGCTCCTTGTGAGAGAATATGACATGCAGATGAACTAGGTAGAGCCAAATTTCTAAAATCTCTGGAAATATACCAGTCCACCTCCAGGCTTCAGGCTTTATCCTTACCGGTCTTCACCCATCCAATGCTGGGAGATCTTTCTGGTATCACAAGATCAGTTCCCACAGTAAGGGATTCCATACCTACCCTAACTACTTCCAGATATCCATCTGTTAAATGTGATCTAACCATGGTCTCTGCAGCAACTCATCTTCAGTACAGCCTGAGAACTGCTGGGTCCAATGTCTTGATGTACAGTACAGCCTGCTGGACTCCTGGCCTGTGTGCTCTCTCCTACCTTTTAAGATCCTCCTTCCTATGCGTTTGGGAACTTGAAGGGGACGGGAGCCTCTGGGATGGCCAGGTGGGAGCCTTACCTGGAGCCCTCTGTCTCCTGGTCCTGCTCCAGCTCACTGGCCTTCATCTGCAGGTAGTCCTGCACCAGTGCTGCCAGCAGGAGGCGCGCTTCCTCTTCACCTAGCTCGACCAGGACTGGGCTGCTCTCCAAGTCCTGCCTGGTAGGGGACAGCAAACTGGGTGTGGACTCTGAGACTCTGGCTCCCTCTCCCTGGGAGAAGCAGCCAGGCTTCTTGGTCCCAGCTTCTTCCCCTGAGGATGTAGCTGCCTCAACTCCCAGAGGACAAGGCTTGAGGCAATGCCCTTATCGGAAGCCAGGCATTGGTGTGGACTCCACTGTTAGATTGGAATCGGTGCACATAGGCTTATGAAACCTGCTAGTTAAATTTTCAGGAATTTTGTGGTCTAAGAGTTGGGTGCAGCCATTACTAAAAATTAAATGATAAAACTTACAATTGGTGTTAAATCTAAATAAGGTTTTAATTTAATAAATATAATTTGTATGTAAGTGAGAAAAAAGATAAACACATTACATGTTGGATTTGATAACAATGGTTTTTGGTAAACTAGTTAGATTAGGATGCAATTCATTTCTCAAATCATAGCTGATTGGGTAACTAGGTAAGCTATTTATACAAAAGTTGGATGAAAAGCAACAAAAGCATTTTGCTAGAGTCAATATGGTCCATGGAATTTGTAACACAGAGTATTGTATATCAGAGTATTAAAAATTGTGCACTATACATTATTACATCAGAAAAAGTTTACAATAAGCTTACATGCATATACACATGTCCCCCCTCCCCCCAGCAGAGGACTGGCCCTCCTGGCTTCTGTTTGTCTCACCTGAATGGCACTGCATGCAGGTTGCTTGAGAGGTACAGAACTAAGATGCTGAGAGCCAGGAATGGGGAGAACTTCTGGAAGCCCATGACGTCTCCCTGCAAGGGAAGAATGACATCATCTCAGGCACCAGCTCAAAGTTCTATGAGGTCACAGACTTGACCTCCTGTCTGCTTCTGACTCTAACTTTTTGATTTTGTGGCTTCAGATATTTCCCTTCAGCTTCAATTCTCCATCAGCAAAGTGGACCATCAGAGGGTCCATTAGACACATAGCATGCATGGTTTGCAACTGAGAGGTGCTATTTTAGGGGGATGATAAATGAGATTTCTCTCTTTCCCTCTCCACCAAATGCTACATAAACCTGTCGGGCAAGTCTTGAGGATTCTCTAAGAGCTCCCGGCACAGTAACTGCTCCTATAAGGAAACCCAGGGCTGTTTTCCTGTGTGGGCTTTCGAATACACCCAGGGGTGGGGAAGGAGCGGGTAGGTAGAGAGCCAATATTTCTATAGTTGTAATCTGAAAAACTGAAGGACCATATCTAGTGCTCAGCTGCTCCGTCTTCTGGCAACTCCGTTGCCTGCAAGAACCAAGCTTAGGCTGAAGTTAGGTCGGTAAGAGACCTCTCTACTTCCGGAGCCTTAAGTGGGGCTTGCAATTTAGGGTGCCTGCAGTTCAGGCGTTGAGCTCATTCTCCCCGCAACCCCCATTCGCGTGTGCCCAGACTCTGGGCCAATTTCACTGGGAACGCGAGGTGCTAGAGGCGATTCCCGAAAGCATCATCTTGGGAAACCCCCTCCCGCATCCTTCCGAGAGAGCGAAGCCTGGGAGCCCAAGTGTCCAGAGACTGGCAGCCGGGGAGCGCAGAGCAGGAGTCCCGGCACTGACACTATCGGATCCTACCTTGGACAGGACCCTGGCATGGATTGCTGACTAACGGAGACTCTGAGGAAGAGATGGAGACGGAAGTGGACAGAGAGACTGAGAGTAGGAGGGAAATAAACTGAGATAGACTAATGGCGAGAGAGAGAGAGAGAGAGAGAGTTAGTTGAGGAGTGAGAGGAAAAGGACAACCTGAGCAGAGATCTGGGGCTCACCTGGTCGGCGATGTCTTGGAGTAGAGGCTGCGGTGCTAAACGGGAGCCCTTCGGAAGTCCAGGCGACTCTTGGGCTAGGCAGCGTCTGGACGCCTCCCAGAGCCAGCAGCTGCTCTTATTCCAGCCCCGCCGCGGGTCGGGAGGGGTCCCCAGCGCCGGCAGCCAATGGGCGGAGGGGGCCCGTGCCCCAGCCAGATTGCGTCACGCCCATGCTTCTAGAACCCCTGGCGCGCCTCACCTCGGCCCCACTTCTATTTGCATTGAGGTCACTGAGGGAAGTGGGAGGATGGGGAGATCAACGAGAACAGCGCTTAAATTAGGCAGGGATTTGAGGACAGTTAAACGTCATGGTCGATTTCACCTCTTCATTCCAGCCTGGCTTTGAACCTTCCCCTAAGCCAACCCCAGCTGTGCGATCTGACGGGGGAGGATCCAGGGCTGCCGGGGACCCCCCCCCCCGTCTGACCCCAGACCCTTTCCCAATGAAGCTTGGAGGGTTAGCATAGCATAGGGGCTGGCTTCCCTGGCCACAGAGTGTCAGACTCCAGCATCTGGTATCACCCACAGAGGAGCCTGGGAAGCTGGAGATGCAACTGGAAACAGGAACTTTCTTAGATGTGAGTTCAGTTCCAGCGGGGCCATTCCGGCCTCTGTGCTGAAGGGCAGCAACATCATAGAGCCTCAGTGCCTTTATATTGGAAACAACGACCCCAGTCCCATCCTCAAGGAATGTCCTGAGAGGTACCCGGGGCAGGGACGCCACTAGGCAGAGATCTGGAAGTTTCCTGGGATGAACTCGGTTGTTCCACCGTAAGATCTCTATTGATACTTTCCGAGTCCCTAACTCAAGGACTGCCAGTTTGGGCGGACCCAGGGTGCCGTACCGATCCGTTACGTGTGTGGAGGGGTCCGCCACCCAGTTTCCAAAGCCTCCATCTAGACCTCATTGTCCCCCTTCCTCCGCCATCCATCACCTCTCATTAGTCATCGCCTGAGGCGTTTGCACAGCTGCCACTCTGCTGCCTGCCGCTGTTTGCCAAGATGTCCCAGTGGCATTTGATTCTGGCCAGCACCCGATCCCTGCACTTAGGGCCCGGGCTAAGGGCAGGCGGCCTCGGTAGCGCTGTGCAGCCTCTGCCGGTCCTGAAGCTCACTCGTCGTCACCCTCATGCACTCACAGGCTCTCACTGCCCCAAGGTGCCCGCGCCTAGAAGCGCAGACACTCGGACGCTGGCTCACAGGTGTCTCCTGAGCTGCCGCCCTCTCCGACGCGTCCCAAGCTGCCTGCGCGTCTCTGCAGTCGCTTCCACACTCGGCCAGGACAGTGATCTCTGTATCTCACACTCTTAAGACCCTGCTCACTTTCAGCCCACAGCTTTGGGGACCACTAGGCCTGAGCTTCAGCTTTAGGCAGGCAAAGAAGGATCGCGGTCTGGACCGGGCATTTGCTGCCCGATGCAGCTAGGATAGGAGCAGCGAAGCTTCTCTGCTTCCCCGGGATTCCCGGTCCCAGCGCGCGGAGCGGGGACCACAGCAGCCTGTCCAGCCGCCCACAGCGCTTCGAGCGCGGCAGCAGCGGCTGCAGCAGCATCTGGGGCCCGAGGGACGGTTTGCGAGGACCCATGTTTCCCGTTTCTCCTAGGCAAAGCAACGGTTATCCCCCAAGGGTGCTTGAGTGGCCAGCACCACGGAGCTCGGGGTTTCCCTGGGTCGCATCCGCACCTCTGTCTTTCCTAGGACACGCCTGCCTCGCGCCAGTCTCCTCCCTGGTGGGTTCGTGGCTTCCGTGCCCAGGCAGCCGGAAGCCAAACTTCTAAAATGCCCTTAGGTGAGTTTGCTCCTTAACTTCTGGGAAGCACTACGGTGAGGGAGTCAAACTCCAGGCTGGACCTGCTGTCCGAGCTTCCCTCTCTGCAGAGCGCGCCGGAGGGAAGGGGGGAGCAGGGCCTGGAAGAACTCACGGGGGATGCCGGCGTGGGTCAGGGCTCAGGATGGCGGGTTTCCAGGACTCAGCGCCGGGCTGTTGGGCCTTCGGCCGTGTACTTCCGAGCCCTGGCCTGGGTTTTCCTGCGGGGCTGCGTGATGAGTTGGCGAAGGCCGAGGCGCGGCCACTACGGGGCGCGCGGAACGAGGGCTACTACCGCTTTCGGCCAACTGTAGAAACCTATTTGCGCTCAGGTGCCAAATACTTCCGCGGAAATAATTTCCTCTTTCAGTCCACAGATTTCTAACCTGAGGACTCACAGCTTTCACCCGTGCAATGATGACCGCAGAATGGTTAGGAAACGACCACTCTAGAAGCCGATTTCCTGGCCACGTCACTTTGCGGGCTCGGAACTCTGTTCTTGTCAGCAGTGTGTGTCTTCAGACCTTAAAGCTGACACCAAGTCCTCAATACGAAATTTGGGGCAGCTACAAACCAGAGGCGGGTGCTGTGGGGCGCTAACTGGAGTCCACATCCAGAGGGCGCGCGAGTAGCCGCGAGGGATTTCAAACCTTCAAGTTCAATCTGTCCGGAAAGGAAAGGAAGAGATTACACCTCAGGTCACTCTGAGGTTGTCGGAAGTGCCTGGAACTGCTCGGAGGGCCACAGGTTAGAAAGCTATTTTCTTGGGTAATTAGCAGCATGCTAGGCACACTGGTAGGCGCTCCGCCAAAGTTCGAGGAATGGAAATTAATTCATTCCGGCAGATTCACCCGTTGGTCTCTCGAGGTAGCTTGCAGAAAACCTGAGTGGAATCAAATCAGTTTCCCGCTGGATTCTGAGGTTGGGAGCGCAAACTCTTCAGCCGGATTTCTCCCATTTTATCTGATACACAGGACTGAGGCAAAGGAAGAAAGTTGTTTCCCCTGGAGTTTGTTTTAAAGACTGGGGTCTCCTGGTGCGAAATGCAAAACATTCTCTGAGCCCAGCCCTGATTTAGGAGTGAATCCGAGAGAGAAACCAGGACTGCTTGGATTTCGTCCTCTGATCCCTGCAACTTCTCTGAGATTTAGGAGCAAACAGCATGATCTATAGGAGTCGCTAAGAAAAACGCTGATTTTTAAGATAATCCTTTGACTATTTAGCCTTTGATTTTACTTTCTTATTTCATAACTTTAAAACCTGAAAATCAGGATCCGTTTTGAAATAATCTAATTCGAAGAGAAACATTTTTACAACACTTTGATAAATTTCAACTGTAATGTTTATACCTGTTCGTTTTAATCAGGTTCCAGTGTTCTTTGATTTATAATATAGTACTAGAATGTAATAAAAATAAAGATGAAATCTGCCTGAGAATCCTTATGTGAATTTCAATGTGATTAAAAGTTTATACTAAAAGCTTACTCATTACTTCAGTAAGCCAATTGTGAGATAAACAAATGATAATCTGAAAGAACAAAGCACTCTAATAGTTCAGAGCTCAAATCACGTGTATTGCTTTGGCAAGATCTGTGTATGACCTAGTATCAACAACATCAAAATCCCAACAGTGCCAACTACAAAACACAATAATGCCAAGGGCAGGAGCAGCAATAACAACATCAAACACCCAAACCCATTCTCTTCAGCTGGGCAGAAAATCAGAGCTGTCAAATTAACTGGAGAATTTCTACGGCAAGATGATTGTATTGTTTAAAGAAGGGCAGAAAGCAAAACTTTCCATCATTAAATTTACTGAAGAACATGGGAAGGAAAGTGATTCCAACTGAATATTTTTTCTAAGTCATGTTTAGAGTCTAATAAGGTCCCTAGTGGAGGAGAGAGGACAGAAATAGTGGTCAAAGTGCCTGAAAGATTCACAATAGCCAAGATAAGAAAACAATCTAAGTATCCATAGATGGATGAGGAGAGGAAGAAAATGTGGTGTATATATATGTAAAATGGAATATCATTCAGCCTTAGCAAAGAAGGAAATTCTGCCATGCTTACTATTGAGAACATGCAGTACTCTCTCTCAACAACAAAAAGTACTACTGGCCTGTGAACTAGAACAAACAATCAATAAGAGAAACCACCAACAGTGTGAAGAGACAACCCATAATGTGGGAAAATATTTTCACCAGCTGTCCCTCAGACATAGGTCTACTATCCTGAGTCTATAAAGAACTTAAAAAAATCAGACCTCCCAAATTTAAAGATCCAATCCAAAAATGGGCATCTGAAATGAACAGACATTTCTTACACAAAGAAGTAGAAATAGCAAATAAACATATGAAAAAATGTTCAACATCACTGGTCATTCAAGAGATGCAAATGAAAACAATGCTGAGATTCCACCTCACCCCAGAAAGAATGGCTGCTATCATGAGATGAACCAATAACAAATGCTGGCAGGGCTGTGGGGAAAGAGGAACCCTGCTCCACTGCTTGTGGGAGTGTAGACTGGTGCAACCACTGTGGAAATCAGTACGGAGATACCTCAAAGAACTAGGACTGGAAGTCCCATTTGACCCTGCTATTCCACTGCTGGGGATCTTCCCCAAAGAATTAAAAGAATCATACCACAGTGATATATGTGCACCTATGTTCATAGCAGCACAATTTGTGATAGCTAAAACTTGGAAACAATCCAATTGCCCATCAACTGGAGATTGGATAAAGAGAATGTGTTTTAAAAAAAAAAAAATAAAATGGAGCATTAGCTATAAAGAATGAGAAACTAGAGACATTTATAGCTAAATGGATGCACACTGAGGTGATACTCTTAAGTGAAATAAATAGGACACACATGTGTAAATAACGAATAGTTTCTCTAGTGTGAGAAGCTGAAAGTGTAAATAAGGACTAAAAGGTATAATAGATAATGTGAAATAAGAAGAAAAGGGGCAAAGGGGAAGGGGAAGTAGGAGGGGTAGGGGAAAGGAAAGAAGGGAATGGAATTAATATGAGAAAAAGAAAAAATGGAAACAAAGTCTTTATATATAAGGAGGGGTGGAGGAGTTGAAGGGAGGGCAGGGGAATGGGGAAAAAATAAGAACCAAGAGAGATTATGTAAAGGTACAAATTTCCATTGATGAATGTCATTATATTGTATACCTTAAATGTACCAATAAAATTAATTTTTAAAAAGTAAAAAAGCACTACTGTACTGTATTGAAAATATTATGCTATGTGAAATAAGCCAGGCACAGACAGATAAATAGTGTATGGCCCCCCTTATATGTGGAATCTGAAAAAAAGTGAAACTCTAGTAGAATCATGGTTACTAGGAGATAGAAGGTGGGAGAAAAGGGGAAACATTGGTTAAAGGATACAACCTTATAGCTATAAAATAAATTAGTTCTTTGTCCAACATAATAAATAAGTTCTAGCGCACTAACATACAGCAGAGTGACTACAGATAATAAAAATAATGTATTATGTGCTTCAAGTTGAACTTTGCTAAAAGAGTAGATCTCCAGCATCATCCCACCCCCTGCCATGTAACTATGTTAGAGGATGAAGCATCTTAAAAATATAAACCTTAAAGAATACAAAAACCAGAGAGAGAGAGAGAGAGAGAGAGAGAGAGAGAGAGAGAGAGAGACCTAGAAATGATCCCGGTAGGGATTTTCAAAGGCCTTTAGAACAGGTGAATCTCTACACATACTGGAGAGGACATCAGCGTTTTATTAACAACTAGATATAAAATTATCTGAAAAACATTGCATGTACGTAAAAAGTTATATAAAATCATATTGAAATAAAGCAAGAATATTACACATATTAAAACCACTGTCAATTGAGTTCCACCTGTGTGCCAGGCAATATGTATATATCATCTTTCATACTATGAGTAGTTTAGTAACATAGGCACTGTTGACTGTTGTATAGAGAAAGGAGATTACTAACAGAATTTGGCTTGAATTAATTGTATTTTCTAGTCTCCTTTTGAGGACCTGAAATGCCAGAACATAGGTTATCTGTCTTCTATATCAGGTAAGAGGTCTGGTCCCTTGGATCTGGGCACTCACTCAGAGGGAGATATGGCAATGTCTGACTGCCTTGGGGCTAATGTGATTTGTTGTGAGAGGCTCAATGACCAGGCATAAATCATTTACAGTTCCTGGACCAACATTTGGGAGATTGACAGTTTTGTAGCAGGAAAATAAATGTCGGTACTGCCACTTAAGATAAGTAAATTGCTAAAGAATAAAACCCAGATCAGATTCATAACAATATTCATAAAATAGACATTTAGAATACTTCAAAGTAACATTAAAAGTCCAAATGACTTAACTTCATAGATTTAGCATGATGTGATGCTGAAATTGTAGTTGACTTGTAGAATGCTTTGTTTTTCCAGTGGAGGCAGTGGTGGTGGTGGTGGGGTTGATGGAAAGAGTGCTGGGGACCAGGAGATAGGATCCTAATTCCTACCTCTAATTCATGGGGTGTGACTTTGAGCAAACCATTTAGTCCTGTTTTTACATTTGACATATGAATTTATTGGACTGAGATATTACTAAACTGCCTTCTAATTATAACATTTTGGAAATATGCTGTGAACTTTAGTCCATCTTTATAGTACTTTTCTATAACACTAGACCAGCCCACTATTTGGCTTCTTCCACTTGTCTCATCAGATACCATTGTATTTGTGATAGACAGCTAGAGAGGTCATCATGAAGGAGAAAGGATGTGTCCTTCTAGTGGGCAATGCAACTGGAAAAGATACTGCCTTTTCCAAATATGAGGGGTACCTGATTTTCAGAAGAAATAGAAAGAAGAGGGAAACAAATACTCTCGTCCTTGTCTCTTTGTCACCAAAAGATGTAATAATGTCTTCTGAGAAGGGAGGACAACCTGCCAGCTGAGCAGTGAGTGCCATGTTTTTCTCTGCCTCCCAAAAATGGATCTGCAACTGACTCCTGGTGTTTGTCTGAGTGTCCTGTTTTTCTGAAAATTGTCAACTGAAGCTTTGCAATGGGGCTACCTAGTGTGTCCTCTGAGAGCACAAATCACACATTTTATGGAACCTGAAAAATCAGCTCTGAAAAATTCTCTTGAGGAGCCTGCAAAGTGAAGAGGCATGAATAGAGGGATTAACCTTCTGGTAGACCAGCCAGTATTTCAAAAAATATATAATGAGTTTGGGAGATAATTTGATTGGGAGATAAATCAATTGATATGTGTAGGGAGATATATTAGGTTAAGTAATTGACACAGTAAAAACACAAAATACATTTGTTTCCCAGGATTATAAAAGTAAATTATATGTCTATACATGTTTGAAAATATTCTGTATGGTTTGTTA